AATGGAAGACATTAGCCTGGCGTGGTGGCATGAGCCTGTAGTCCCAGGTATTCGAGATGCTGAGGTGAAGCTGCCATGAGCCGTGATTGTTGTGATCATGCCACTGCACTCTAGCATGGGTCACAAAGTGAGACACTTACTCAAAAAAAAAAAAAAAAAAAAAGGAAGGCACCTATCAGGAAGTGGACGAGATAAGTGTAATTTGTTAAGGTGGCCAAAGAATATGGCATTCAAGTAGTCTACTGTATTTGAACATGTAGTATCTTAGGTAATTATAACTCACTGTGATCAGTTCTCTTCTGTCTACACTGGAGATCAGTTGTGTTAAGGAATGTCATTTCCATGTACAGAGAGCATACTTTTAGGTGAGGCCAGGCAAGGCTGGTGGAAGATTTAAAGATCCCTTTGTGGTGATGGGGCAACCAGATGCTTTTGTTTTATTCCAGCAGCGTCATGACTACTAAAAAGCTACTGCTAATTTTTCTTACATTACACAGCAAAAGAGATTTAAGGAAAGGCAACAGAAAAAAATGGGGCAAAGTATACATTTTCCAAGGTATCTGAGGGGGACCCCCCAAAACTTGGAATTTATTTATTAAAAAATTGTGTATTTATTCTTATGTTTAAACTTTAGTCATCTTCAAAGTACTCTCCACTTGATGCAATATACCTATCAAGATGCTTTTTTCACTGCTCAAAACAGTTTTTAACTCATCAATTTTGATGCCTTAATGATTCTGCTGTTTTTTGTTTCATCTCTTCCACATTAACAAAACGTTTCCCTTTGAGGACTTTTTTCATCGGGGAAACAAACAAGCAAAAACTGCTTGGGGTGAGATCAGATGAATGGGGGGGCATGGGGTCATGCTGTTTTTGGTCAAAAACTGAACATTCAGCATGGTGGGGGCAGGTGAGTTGTCATGGTGGATGAAACAATAACTTGTTTGTCACAATTTGAGACGTTTTTCCTGCAAATTGTGATGCCCCCTTCTTTGAAACTTCCAGATTAAAATTTTAGTTGACTGTTTGATCTAGAGGAACTAATTTTGAATGTACTAAGGGGTCCAGCCTCCAAAAGATAATTCTGGGTCCCTCCTCATATAGATTGAAGGAGATAAAAATATTTATTTGCTGCCTGTAATGGGGGAGGTTAAACTGTTTGCTTGAAACACTGTTTGAGTATTGAAGTTAGGCCAAACTGTTAAGAGTTGAAAAAACCTTAGGATCGACATGGTGGAAAATCTATTTCATAAATGACGAAAACAAGGCCTGTAAAGTGATGCAATTTGTGAAGAGCCAAGTATAGAACTATTTTATGCCTCAGAATGTTCACCACACTAAACAGCTAAAGTGGAAAGCCCATGTCAGAAAAAACAGTGGCAAGTGTTACATCTGGGAAAGAAAAGGGATTTTCAATCTAGACGTTGCCTCATGCCTTCAAACCCCCTGCCGGGTGGTCACTTCATGAGATGTGTCTTCTCAACTCCTTAATTCTGTCCTCCAAACCCTCTGACAATACTCCTCTGTTTTGTGATAAAGTTTCTTGTAAGCCCTGCTGGCAAGAATCACCTTAAAATTTTGTCCGTGCCTTTCTGGTTGATGCTGTAATTAAATTACTTACAGTATAAATTTGTCTTTATCCCCAGTTCATAAATATCCACATGATGGGACTGATGCTCATGTCTATTATTCCCAGCTCTGGCTTGATTCTCGTTTCAGATTTCCAACTACAGAAGAGGAAACGTTTCTCGAGTGTCCCGGCGACGCTTGCCCAAAAAGCAACTTCTATCACAACTTCCAAATCAGCTCCCCATCTTAGTTTATCTCTTTGTGCCTCAAGTACTATTATGATGGTCTCACTGATCTGGTTCTGGACTTCACTGTCCCCAGTAGGCTCACAGCACCAGCAATCTAATAGCTTTCCTGCTTTGAGCGACCCAGTCAAGTCACCCTCTGCACTGAGGGTAAATGTCTGTTCTACAGGGAGAATCCAAATCATATTCTCCCAACCAAAACTTTCCAGCATTTTCCCATTACCTGCAAAATAAAATCCAAACTTCTTAACCTGGGTACTCTAAAGCTGGATTATAATTCAACCACTATTTATTGAGTGCCACCTGGAGGGCCATGCTCTGTGATAGATACTGGAGACTTGGTAGCTTCTTAAGATACAATCTCTACCCTCACTGAACTGTCTATGCTAGGGGAGGGAGCCAGAGAAGCAAACAATCTTGTATAACACCGTGTGTGTGTTTGTGTATGTGCGTGTGTAGTCACCAGAAAGGTAGAGAGTGCTCTGGGATAAAAGAGGAACAGCACCTAGCCTGGACTGAAGTGGGATGAGATGGAGGACAAGAAGGTGGGGTAGAATGAGAGAAGGAAGGGTGGGAGTCGAGTGAAGTTTCCCAGAAGCGTCAACACAACTTGAAATATGAGGAGACAGACAAGGGCAGGGAAGCATGATGAGGGACGCTCAACATTGTTTTAAAGGGAGGATCTAGCATGTATGGCCTTATCTCTGAACTCTTCTTCCAGGCACACTGGCCCACACCTCTTTCTTAGCACCCTTCCTCATCTCCTTCTTGTTTACCTTTCAGGGTTTTCAAAGTTCAGCTCCACCGCCATACCCTTGAAGTTTGCCTGATAATCCAGGGGAGAAATGCCCTCTCCTACCCCTGAACTCCTCCCCTAGCCTGTGTTTCTGTTCCTCTGGTATGGAGCTGCTTGGTGAATACCCATGGGACAGATTTCTACTGCCACCCCCTGATTGTAGGCAACAGCACCTCACTTCTGTTCTACTGCATCAGACTTAGCTGGCCTCCCTAGCTGCTGCCTTTTCATCAGTGGAAAGCCAGGCAGGTGGGCTTTCTCGATACACTAGGCTGATATTTTTTCAATTAGCCTTCGCCTACTCCATGCCACCCATCCTGGCCAGACCATCTCCATCCCTTCTCTCATGTGACTTATCCTGCTCTGGTCTCTTCTTTCTCTGGCTTCCTTTGGCCATCAGGGTCAATGTGACCCTGCCTCTAACGGGACAGTAACTTCCTTGCACCAGCGCCATCTTCCACACAGCCCATCCTGACAAAGACTTGACAAAGTGGCAAGGAACCACTGATAGACTTTCTCACATATCTTTGTTTACAGCTTTGAGCAGGGAAACTAGTTTCATAAGTAAAGTTGACAGGCCACCGGGGAGAACAATAAAAAAGGAGCACCTGAGAGAGGATGAAGGGGAAATTTACAAAGACGTGAGAGGAAAGCTTGCCCAAGGTCTAAGTCAAATCAAGTCAAAACACATCATCGTGTTTTCCTTTGTTTGCTTTGCACGATTAGTTTTGCTGGAACACTAAAGAGCTATGGATTTTTCCTCCAGATATATAACTCTGCCTCTTTGAGTAGAATATCTTTGGGTTTCCACTGGAACAGAAAAGGGAAGTATTTTGCAATAAATTCAAAAGAACTACTTAGGATAGTTTTATTTACTTGTATAGTTGTTTTTATAGTTTTCTTACTGTGAGATGACAGAAAGAATTGATGATTTGAGACAAAATGATTCAGGTATGCTTGTGTCCCTTCTAAAATCTTATAAATTGCTAGTTTTTAGAGATACACACTTTCAAGTTTCAATAGCACCTCTACTTTTGGGGAAACTTCCCCTTTAGCATTTCTTCATACAAACGGTCTATGTCAATTGGGAAAAGAGGGGAGATGCTATAGCTTTATCTCATCTCCTGTAGTGAGCGATGTTTCCTCATGACGGTTAGTTTATTAACTTCTGGCAGGCCTCCAGGAGTAAGTAAGGGTTGAATGCAGTTAGGAACTATGCCTCAACTTTATGCAGGACCCTTGCCCTTTGTTAAGGAAAAAAGGGACTCAGCAGCCGGCTAGGTGGCTCAGCCTGTAATCCTGCGCCTTTGGGAGGCTGAGGTGAGTGGATTGCTTGAGCCCGCGGATTAAAGACCCGCCTGGGCAGTGAGACCTCATCTCTACAATAAATCAAAAAATCAGCCTGGTGTGGTAGCGCATGCCTGTAATTTCGGCTACTTGGAAGGCTGGGGTGGAAGGATCGCCGGAGCCCAGCAGGTTGAGGCTGCGGTGGCCGGGAGCGGCCACTGCACTCCAGTCTGGGCGACAGAGTGAGACTCCAACTCAAAAAAAAAAAAAAAGGACTCAGCTAGACAAGTCACATCAAAGTGGAAGTCTGCAATGGGACTTACCAGAATGAGGGCCTTTTGGTACTTGAATAACCCCTCAAGAAGCATAAACCTGAGACCAAAGTTCCCCTTTGCCATAGCTCCCGATAGCTATCTTCCAAATATCCATAAGGTTTAAAAAGCGAAACTGAGAAACACATTTGATCTCTTAACCACATAAGCAACACACTTTGTAGGTACAATGCTTGTACTGAATTAAATCTTTCAACATGGTCTTAGGAGCCCTTAATTTGACAAGTCTTCCTCTTAGATGAGACTGAGAAAACTTCCAAAGCCCTTCAACTTGGTTTCTACACTTGCCTTAGCTACTAGGATCTCCTTATTTCCCAGTGTGCATCCTTAGTTCTTTTGTTTCTACTTTTCTTTCTACCTCTCTACTTCAGCAATGCTCATTCCTCTTCCTTTCCTGTCGTTGTTTTTAATTGAGTAGTTCGCAACCTACACTCACTCTCAGGTATTTCTTTTAGAAATCTTTAGAATTGTGGGCAAGGGAGAGTTCAAAGGGCTGAAATGGCATTTTCTTTTTTCGGTGGCACAACTAGATTCCTCAAGCTGCCATGCTTGTAGGTAGGTTACTGCCTCTCCTAGCTTTAAAAGTCTCCCCTTAGCCTGTAGACTCTTCCTCTTCTTCTCTCAAACTGGCTCAGGCTAGCGGACTCTTCCAGAATTCTGTTAAGCTTGTGATGACCTGCTAGAGATTTCTTGGGCAGGACGAAGGGTGGCAAAGACCAAACACCAGCAGATTTTCCAAGCTGGGCACCCGCCAAGAGACCAGACTCTCACCTGAATGAGGAGATCGATAGCGAAAGTCCTCTTTGGTCAGCAGCAGGAGAGCTTTGCCATTCATTTCAAATGTGTTGCTGTCAATTGGCCTTAAAGAAAACTCATTTTCAGCCCACTTGAGCCACTGGGCTACGTCATCCCTGCTCCAGTAAATTGGCTGCAAGCCTGTTGGAGAGAGAGCAAGGCAGAAAGAAAGACAGAAAAAAAAGGTCTTGTCAGTTAGTCAGAATAAAGGAAAAAGATCTCTGAATAGTTAACAAAATTGAGTCTCTATGTCTCAAGAGCCCTTATGTTCAACACTTAAGACCCAGGTTAAAACCCTAGCTTCATAAATGCTCAAGTGTGCTGTCAGATCAACTTTTTATTTAGAGATGAGATGAGAAAAATTTTCTTTCGTGCTTAAGGGGTGGCAGGTCTTCCTTGTTCAGCCCACAGGCTGTCTTAATCCCAGGTTTGCTCTTAGGTGGCCCGAGGCACCCAAGGGGGGCTCACAGCCAGGACACATCTCAATGGAGGGGACCTCAGAATCAGAGCTGATGTGATTGCAGCCCAGAGTCCTTTTGAAGTAAGAATGTTCCAGAGCCGGGCTTGACCTTCCAGAGCTGCCAAATAATGAAGTGTTCCCTGAAACTTCTTCCAGGAAGAGCAATTCACTCAGCCTCGGGGAAACCATCAGGCTGGCCTCTGGGAATAAGAGGGCAAAGTAAGGATAAAAGTTTTTTGCCTTTTTATTCTCCTTGCGGATGTTAGAACTTCCTGGTGAGGGTGGTACTGGTCTCTGAATAGGAACCCAAGTCAGGGGAGGGAGGCCTGGAGCTGAGGCTGAGCAGGTGGTTCAAGTTGGATCTCTGGGAACCTGACTGCCAGTTTATATTTTCATTTTATTTTGCTACCGTGGGAAATCAATTGACTTAGAAGAATGGTTCTCTCCCCCCCCCTTTTGTTTGCCTTTATTTTTTTATTTTTAAAATTTTTATTTTAAAGATGGGTACAATTCAGGGTTAGTTATATAAATAGTAATTGTACAGGTAGAGTTTGGGCCTCACTTTGGTCCCCATTTCACCTGGTTTGAGATCAGGTACCCTTATTGATGAAGTGTGCCTCCCCTGGCAGTTTCCCACTATTGCCAATCCCTTTTTTATAGTATTGTTGAGGGTCTGCTTATGAGTGAGAACATGTTGTACTCAGTTCTTTGTTTCTGTGATAGATCACTGAGTATTACAGACTCTAAATCTATCCAAGTTGCTGCAAAGTTCACAATTTTATACTGAAAAGATATAGAATGGCAAACTGGATTTAAAAAATGATGCAACAATATGCTGTCTCCGGGAGACTCATCTCACCAGAATGGACACTCACAGACTCAAAGTAAGAGGCTAGAAAACGAATTTTCAGCGAATAGAACACAAAAGAAAGCAGGAGTTGCGATCTTAATATCAAACTATCCTTTAAGCTATCAAAAATTTAAAAAGATACGGAAGGTCACTACATAATGATAAAAGGTTCAATCCATCAACTAGAACTATTCATCCTAAACATATATGCACCCAACATAGAACCACCAACCTTTATAAAACATCTTCTAGGTAAACTAAAAAAAAATACTGACTCTAACACTATCATAGCTGAGGACTTAAATATCCCACTATCAACCCTAGATAGATCATCAAGGCAAAAAATAAAAAAGATCTGGAACCCCAACTTGACATTTGACCAAATGGACTTAATAGATACCTATAGAACACTCCACCCAACAACTATGGAATATACATTCTACTCATCACCACATAGAATATACCCAAGATTGACCACGTCCTCGGCCATAAATCAAGCATAAACAAATTTCATAAGATTGAAATACTGTCATGCACCTTCTCAGACCACAGTTGAATAAAAATATGTATCAACACCAACAAAGGTACCCTCAAACCCACAAAAAAATGAACACTAAACAGCATGATGGTGAACAACTCTTGGGTCAACATGGAAATCAAAGCAGAAATTCAAAGACTTCAGGAAACAAATGAAAACAAAGACATATCTTACCAAAACCTCTAGGATGCCATGAAAACAGTACTGAGAGTGGAATGAATTAATTTCTTTATTAATTAATTTTTTCTTCAAGAAAATGGAAAGCTCACAAGTTAATAGCCTAACAGATCACCTAAGGCAGCTGGAAAGACAAGACCACCAAAACTAACTTCAGCAGAAGAATCCAGATCATCAAAGTAAAAGTCCAAATTCAGGACATAGATGACAAAAATATCATAGAAAAAAAAATCAACAAAAACAAAAAACTGGTTTTTGAAAGAGTGGTTCTCAAAGGGTGATGTCTTCTCACTAATTATTTTTTCTTTTGGAAAATATATTTAAAAATATGTATATTTATTTTGAGTTGGAATCTCACTCTGTTGCTCAGGCATGCTCATGGTCACCCCAGTATTGATCTGCTGGGCTCCTGCAATCCTTCCGCCTCAGCCTTCCAAGTAGCCAGAAATACCCGTGCATGCTACCATGCCCGGCTAATTTTTTGATTTATTGTAGAGACAGGTCTCACCATGTTGCCCAGGCTAGTCTCAAACCCGTAGGCTTAGGCAATCCTCTCGCCTTGGCCTCCCAAAGTGCTGGGATTACAGGCTTGAGCCACCATGTCTGGCTATATGTTTATATTAATATATAACTGGCTTATTATTTTTAATACATTAATATGTATTTTAAAATATATTCAGTTTTAATATACAGAATAATAAATACGAATAGATATAACTCACAGAAGCAAAAGGTCTTTGGAGTCTTCGATAATTTTAAAGCATCAAAAGGAGTCCTGAGGCCAAAAATTTAAGAACCACTGGGTCAGAAGAAGCTAGATGTTTGACGGAGCTTCATTCTTTAAGATCACATGGTATGAATCAATAGTTCAAACAGAGTACAATGGAATCAGTGTTTGCTGAAAGAAGTTTTAGTCCCTCAGCATAAGTTACTTAAACTTGCTAAGAAGAATTCATGAATGTGTTATAAAAGTGTCCTGCAGTTTGATCCTGGAAAGAATCACCTTTCATTCTAAACCAGGCATGCCAAAGAACTATCTGGTCTACCACATAAGCTGCTCTTTCTCTCTACAGGAGTAGGAGAATAAATGGTTCCAAGGAGTGGGGAATGAATGCTTGAATACACTGGAGAATGTCTAAGGCCTCTGGGCAGGCCTTAAGTGGCTCCTTTGCAGAGTATAGTTTTGAAGAATGGTCAACGGCTTCCTCCAACCCCATGGAAGGTCCCTCAAAACTAGTCTCTCTCATCGGAGATCAATAAAGAACTATTAGACATTGAAATAATTAGAAATGAGCACTTAAGAGTTTTTTCCCCTTGGTTTTTAAGTTTTATGATAATTTTTTACATGAAAGAAAGTAGCTTTACAGAATAATAACATATGGTATGTTACTGCTCTATGGTGTTTTGAATAAAATATGGCCACTAAAAGTTTTGTTTTTGACTTGTGACTGGCCCAGAAATCAATGCTTGGTGAAAACGGCCCATGGCATACAGAAGGGTAAAATGGACATTGGAGACTCAGAGGGTGGAGGGTGGGAAGGGAGTGAGGGATGATAAATCATCTATTTGGTACAATGTTCGTGGGCGGGTGGCAGTACACTTAAAGCCCAGACTTCTTCACCACTATACAATACATCCATGTAACCAAAAGCCCCTGGTATTCTTAAAGTTATTGAAATAAAAAATAAATAAAAAATTAAAGTTAAAATGGCCCATGGTATGATACAGGAGGTGCATGATTCTTTCCAGTGATCTTGAAAATGCATGTCTGGAATCAGTGAGGTGGGAGTGGCAGTGAGATTGACTTGGCAAAACCTCAATTTTTTTTATTTTTTATTTTTGAGTCAAGGTTTCACTCTATCACCCAGGCTGGAGTGCAGTGCCACGATCACGGCTCACCATAGCTTGACTTCCTGGGCTTGGGCAATCCTTCCACCTCAGCTTCCCAAGCAGCTGTGACTAGAGGTGCACGCCACCATGCCCGGCTAATTTTTTGATTTTATAGAGATGAGGTCTTGCTATGTTGCCCAGGCTGGTCTTGAACTCCCGAGCTCAAACAATCCTACTACCTCGGTCTCCCAAAGTGCTGGGATTACAGGTTTGGACACCAGTCACTGCATCCAGTCAAAAGTCTCAATTTTCGAACTGGTGAAAACCTGCCACCTTACTGTTACTGTCAGTGGTGTTACCTTTGAACAAGAACGGGCTTGATGGCTCAGCCTGTAATCCCGTGCCCTTGGGAGGCTGAGGTG